CTGGCCCACCCCTGGATCAAGGTGAGAGGGACAGGCGGGGGGGTGGGTGCCAGGCTGCCAGAATCCAGGTGGGGGCACGGTGATGGTGCCGTGTCCTCGCCCCCGCAGCCCCTGAGCAGGAAGCAGGTGCTGAACCGGAGCCGCTCCTCCATCAACATGAGAAACTTCCGCAAGTTCAACGCTCGGAGGAAGTGGAAGGTGAAGGGCTTCCCACCCGCGGGGGTCCCACCACCCCTGAGCCCCCCCCCCCCCCCCGGGGGAGCTCGGGCTGGGTTGCATCATCCCAAGGCTGGCCCCAAATCGGGGCGGGGAGGGTTGCAATGTGGAGGTGTAGTGCTGGGGGGGAGGGAGGGAGGGAGGGAGGGCAGGGCTGGGGAGGGACCCCCACCTCGGACCCCCTTCCCTCCCGCCCTCGCAGCTCTCCTACAACATGGTGTCCGCCTGCCACCGGCTGTGCCGCACGCGGCTGCTCTGCGGCCTGAGGAAGGAGGATGAGGAGCTGGTGAGCGCCCAGGAGCCCCCCAGAGCCCACCCAACACGGGCTGGGGAGGGGGACAGCGGATCTGGGAGGCCTGACCCCCCCCAAAAAAAAAAAAATGGAGGGGGTGCCGTGCAGTGGCTGTGCAAAGGGGGTTATCTCCACCTGAAGTGCCCTCTCCTCTGGAGGGGGGGTCCTGTGCCTGCCCTCCAGCCCCTCCCCTGTGCCCCCAGCGCTGCTGCGAGAGCGACCAGGAGGAGGAGAGCAGCCCCCCCATCGCGCTGCTGCGCCGGAGGAGAAGCAGCTCCTGAAGGAAGACAGGGACCCTCCCTGAGAGGAGCCTTGGGGGTGCCCTCATCTCCCCAGCCCGAGGCAGGAGCACTGTCTGGCCCCAGTGCTCGCAGTTTCCTGCTGTCGGGGGGGGTCACCGGGACAGCAGCACTCCCCTCCTGGCCCCCAGGTGTTGCTGCAGTAGGGCTGGGACCCCCCTCCCTGCTTTGTCCTGGTGAGAAAAATAAACACCGCTCCCTCCTCCATCCTCCTCTCCTGCGACTCCTTCCCCTTGAGGTTTGGTCATCACAAGCAGCTGGTGCCGAGCGCCCGCAGCTTCCTCATCCTCCTCCTTCTCTCTGCGAGGCTGCTGGGCCGGGGGGACCCCGGGGCCACCCTGTGAGGAAGAGTTGTCCCTTCCCTTCCGTGCGGCTCTGGGGGAGTTCTCCGTGTGTTCTCGGCTGCTTTCGTGGCATCCCCCTGCCAGAGCAACCTGGATCCTCTTGCTCCGGGGGAGGAGGGAAACTGAGGCAGCCCTTCCTTCCCGCCCACTCCAGCTCAGGGGGCGGGGGGGGATGGGGGGGCCGCCCTGTTTTCCCCCCTCTGTATTTCCCAAACAAGCCCTGGCCCTGGCCCTGACAGTTGTCAGGCTAAATATTTTGTGTGCGGCAGCCGAAAACAAAAAGTGAAGGGGCCGCAGTGTCCGGGCAGGGGCCGTGTCCCACCCCCCCCCACCCACCCACCCACACCATCCCGGCGTGCCCCAGGTGCCGCTGGACACGGCAAGTGGGACCCGACGCGGTGCAGCAGCGCCCGAGGTGGGACAGGGACGGGACCGCGGGGGTCCCGCTCGGGGATGGGGCCGAGGGCGCCGGGTGCCCTGCGGCTGGGGGTGATGCTGCTGGTCCTCGGTCCCCTCCCTCTGCCCCCCGTGTGGGCCCCGTCCGAAAGTAAGTGCTTGGCAAGGGGTGGCCGGGAGAGGGGCAGGGATGGAGCACTTTTCGGGGGCGGGGAGGACAGTTCTGGGGTGCGGGGGGGGGCTGCGTGCTGATACCTGTGATACCTCGGGGGTTTGCGGAAGCCAAACCCTGAGACAAAGCTCTTTGGGTGCTCCCTCTGCCTCGGTTCCTCCCCCCCTCCCCCCGCGGCAGTGCCCCCGATGCTGAGGACCCCCCGTTCTGGGCAGGAGAGGCAGATGGGATGAAGGGGGAGACGTGGTGGGGGGCTCAGCTGGAGCCGGGGGAATTGCTCAGCCCCGCTGGGATGGTGGGAAATGGTTGCAGGAATTGGCAGCGCTGGTCCCAGCACGGCTGCTGAGGTGGGAAAGGGTGGAGAGGGGTGGCACGGTGGGGAGGGGGCACCAGGAGGGTCTGCTGGTCTGTCCTGCCTTCCCCTCTCCCCACCACCTGAGCCTCAGTTTCCCTGAGGGGCTGTGCTGGGCAGGTGGGAGCAATGGAGGAGGGGGGATGAAACATCCCAGAGATTCCCAGAGGACACACTTCACTGTGCCAGCTCCCACCTGGGATCCCTGCCCCCTCCCTGTCCCCTCAGGGGCACGGGGGACCCCTGTCCCTTCACAGAGTGACTTGGCAAGGTCAGGCAGGTGACAGTGGCAGCAGGGGCTGTAACCCCAGGGTTGGTGCTGCAGGTTTTGTGGGAGGATGGAGGACCCTCCTGTCCTCCATCCCAACGAGGGGCTGAGCCCTGGTGTGGTGCTGGGGTGAGTGGGCACAGGCAGCTGCCAGAGCCTCAGTGCCCACGGGATCAGGGTGCCCGCAGTTCCTGGGTGACACCGAGGGGGGGAAGTGCCACCAGGCACAAGGTCACAAAGTCACCAGGCCCTGAGCCACCAGCCCAGGCTGGCTGGGCCAGACAAGGGGTGAACCACACCCTGACCCCCTCCAGGCCCTGGACAGCGCTTTTGGGCTGGAGATGCTGCAGGTGGGAAGCTCTGTGCTCCTCCTGGCTCTTGCATCCCTGCTGGGACTGGGAAGCAGGAGATGCTGGGTTTGTGCTGCCTCAGTTCTCCTGCTCCCTGCCTGAGCCTGGGTGGAGAACCCCTGGGCCAGCAAACGTGGCCCAGGCTGTGCCTCAGGGGCACCCGTGGCAGCCTTGTGTGCCCCATTACCTGCCTGGGCACTGCTGGGGAGTTAATGGGAACAACCTTTTAGGAGCTGCCACTCACTGGGTAATGGTGGGTCCGGGGCAGGGGGGAGATGCTGTGAGCCCCCCACAACTCAGGCAAGGGGAAAGCCATCTGCACCCCCCAGCTGGCTTCCCCTGGGGTGGGCAGCGGGGCTGGGGCGTGGTCCTGGGGCTGCCGTGGGGCAAGGCAGGCGCCAGGGCTGCCAGGCCTCGTTAGCATCCTGCTGACAGACGCGTCGTGCCCCCAAGAGCCACAGCGCGCCAGCCGCCTGTCACAGCCACTCGTGTCTCCCCGGCCGCCCAAACCAATTCCAGCCCCGTTTGACAGGCAGCACTGGGATATTAAACCCCCCCGAGCACCCCCTGGGGGATCCCAGGGTGAGAGTGGGGGGGGTGTCACCCGCTCCATCCCTGCCTCCCATGGGGTCCCCCCTCTCGCCACCCCAGTCTGCGGCAGCATGGACATCCGCAACGACGTCTCCCAGCTCCAGAAGCTGGAGAACTGCTCCATCATCGAGGGCAACCTGCAGATCCTGCTGATGTTCACCACGGGCGCCGAGGACTTCCGGGGGCTCAGCTTCCCTCGCCTGCTGATGATCACCGAGTACCTGCTCCTCTTCCGCGTCTACGGGCTGGAGAGCCTGCGGGATCTCTTCCCCAACCTCTCCGTCATCCGCGGCACCAACCTCTTCTTCAGCTACGCCCTGGTCATCTTCGAGATGCCGCACCTGCGGGACGTGGGGCTGCACAGCCTGGGCCACATCCTGCGCGGCTCCGTCCGCATCGAGCGCAACCAGGAGCTCTGCCACCTCTCCACCATCGACTGGGGGCTGCTGCTGCCCGACACGGGGGACGGCACCTACATCGTGGGCAACAAGCTGGCCGAGGAGTGCGCCGACGTCTGCCCGGGCATCCTGGACGTGGAGAAGCCGTGCGTGCAGACCAGCGTCAACGGGCAGCTGGATTATCGCTGCTGGACCTCCAGCTACTGCCAGAAAGGTGGGTGCCAGTGGCACGG